CGAAAATGAATATGGCATTTACACAGAAGCTAAAAAGAGTGTATGCTCATAATGAATCACATACTGTCATTCAGGTACTTAAGTTGCAGTCTGTATCACAGGGCATTATTCAGAAGGATCCAACATTAGTTGTATACAATGAATAGATTGATCTACAATAAGAAACCGATGTCTTCTACTGAAGCAGAATTTCCCTTAAAGTCTTCCAACTCTCTTGATGATGAATCTCACATTAGCAATTTAGAAGAAGCTATGGAACTTGATAAGAAAACCATGGAAACCCCTAAAAGTAATGATTGTACTAATTTGAAAGTACTTGTAATTATTATTATTTGTAACAGGTCTTTCTGTACCAAAAGCACTGTAGTTAGATTTTTCATTTTTGCTTGATTTGATTAAGACCAGTTTTGTTCCGGTGGTTATATGTGTTGCTACTCTCACTGCACTCTCTTCTAAAAGGAAAACTGATTTATTTCAGGTTTTTATAAAGATGGCTGTTTGATTTAGAAATCCTAAATTTGGAAACGGCAAACCTATATCATACCAGCTTACAGAAAAGATGTTCAAAGGAGGGCCTGTCTTCTTTTAATTTCAATATTTTGGCAAATTCCCTTTCAATGATCTCATGTGGTTGTTGGGCACTAAATGTTCAAGTATCAGCCTCTGCTTTCTCTGTTGCCTCCTTCAAGCTCTTAAGCTAAAAAAATTTCAATTAAATTATTGGATATCACTGAAAATGAAGCAGATTTTAATGAAGAGGAGCTAAAGAAGAACAAGCATGGGGAGTGGCTCTTCTATGAGGAAACAAAGAGACTGAAGGCTCTCAAGAATCACCGGGAAAAATTAGATCTCCTTGAGCCTGGCGTTACATTCCTCAACGTCTTCAATATCGGTCAAAGCAAAGCAGCATACAACTTCCTCCCGTTTCTTGGCCAGCATTGCAAGAGATCATTGCCATTATTTTTTGCGTCCAGTGCAGATGGTACTGACTTGTGTAAGCCACTGGATTCTGATTGCTATGAAGAATGTGAAACGTCTGTCAACCACTTGCTTAATGCTTATGTGTCAAGACGGAAGTTTATCAGGCACATTGTGAGATCTCAGTCAAATGAAGTTTCAGAGCCACCAATCATCATGCGCCAGCCGTCCTGTAATCAGCAATCATTGAGATTGGATAATCTCAAAGAAATATTTCAGGAACGTGGCTTCAAAGCTACTTTCGAAGATATTAATCTCTCAGATATGAAACAGACCAAGAAGATTCTCGAAAAAATGGTTGTCAGAAATATGGCTAAGTATGTTACTGGTTTGCCTATAAGGTGGGTTTTTCTACGTAGCCTTCTCCAGGCTTCAAATGTATCACTTATGACTAAAAGTGATATCAGCAAATTGGCCACTTCATGTGGTGCTGGAATAGATCCCAGTGAAGTTGAGATATTTCTAACCACCTTCACAAGCTTTGCCAGTCTCCTTTACACCCCCTCCTACACTGATATTGTACTGCTGGATATTCATATCTTTCCTGTGAATGACGTTTCCGATTTATAATGATATTCATTGGGATACCGTAAATGAAAAATTAATTAAAATTTTTTCAGGCCGCCATTGTGGAGGTATACTATCATTAGCTACAATGGACCGACAGGCTAAAAACTGTCAATTCTACTTCTCCACGTCACTCCAGTGGCTCTAAACAGTTGCAGACTACTGAAAAGAAAGATAAAGGTTGCAATTTTTACTTTTGAGGCTATAACTGCTTGCTCTTCTTACAAAACGGCAGAAAGTGTGTCGAGCTCCA